TTAGGGTTCAGGGTTTAGGGTTACTCTGGAGGAGACCCTGGAAAAAAACATAATATGTTTATACTATTATACTTTCTAGGTATAAGTAGCTATAGTAGGAACCCAGAACCCCAACAAAGTATACACCTTTTAGGTATAAGTAGCTATAACAGGAACCCAGAACCAAAAGTAGTATTAAAGTATAGTACTCCCAGACCCAGTAAGGCTGCTGCGGGTCTAGCTGCGCACCGGCCTGGGTCCAAAGAAATGTCTGTTTAGGGTTTCGGGGGTTTAGGGTTTAGGGTTTAGGGTTTAGGGTTTAGGGTTTCGGGGGTTTAGAGCTTGGGGTCTATAGACAGCCCATCCCAGACTCCCAAATATTGAACATACTCCAAAGCAGGACCTAAACCCTGAACCCAAAACCCTAAACCCTTAACACTTAACCCTAACCCCCCCCCCCTGGTGGAGAGTGCGTCAGGTTGGGGGGGGGTTTGGGGGAGGGCATAGCAGCCCAGTGTACAGGGTTTAGGGTGTCGAGTAGACTCCACCTGGGTGGTTCTCTGAAGCTCTGGTCCCTTTTCGAGGTGCTTCTTTCCAAGGGTGCCGTGCTATATCTAGGACCCAGAAAAGGATCCTCATTTAGGATGGTTTGTTCTTGACAGAATCCGCGCATGCCCCTGGAAACCACTGTCTTCATGGTCCTGCACACAACCTCGGCTGGGGAATACGCCTTATAAACCACCTAAACCCCGCCTTATAAACCAACTAAACCCTGAAGCCTGAACCCAAAACCCAAAACCCTGCACCCTAAACCCTAAATCGGCATAGGGTTCTTACTAAGGTGCATTCCTTCATGGGCCAGGGAAAGGTGCTGAGGGGCCCTGGGGTCCCCCGCGGTTGAGCATAACTCACAAAGCAGCTGCCTGTGCAAACGGTGAGGGTTTAGGACTTAAGGTTTAGGGTGTGCATGGGGTTTAGGGTTTAGGGTTTAGGGTTTAGGGTTTAGGGTTTAGGGTTTAGGGTTTAGGGTTTAGGGTTTACCTGTATTTGGCCTCCTCGGAGGGCCCGGCTCGGAAGTGGATCCCGCTCCGGATCTTCCTGTCCTCCCCTCGAACTGGGTTTAGGGTTTAGGGTTTAGGGTTTAGGGTTTAGGGTTTAGGGTTTAGGGTTTAGGGTTTAGGGTTTAGGGTTTAGGGTTTAGGGTTTAGGGTTTAGGGTTTGAGTTTCGTTGAAACTACCCCCAAGATGCCGTGTCAAAGCATGCACGTGAGCCCAAAACTCTTGGGAGCCCAAGACCCTTCTAAGCCCAAAAGCCTGAATCACCAAACCCCAACCCCGCATCAACCCTAGTGAAATAGACACCTCTCAATTTCCATAGACATAAATGCCAGCGTCTAGATCTATTTCGCTACTTATACACATATCTGTATCTATATATACATATAGATATACGAATATATATATATATATGTACATATACATATACATATACATATACATATACCCTAAACCCTAAGCCCTGAACCCTAAACCCTAAACCCTAAACCCTAAATCGCTTAGACATGTCAGTCCCAAGGCCTGGCTGTCGGATGGTCTGGATCGATGGGCCTGGCACTTTAGGGTTTAGGGTTTAGGGTTTAGGGTTTAGGGTTTAGGGTTTAGGGTGCACCATCTTAGGGCGTAGGGCTGTTTTAGGGCGATGGGGACTGGAGGGTTTTTAGGGTGTAGGGTTTGGGGTTTAGGGTTTAGGGTCTAGGGTTCTTGGGTTTGGGCTTTTGAGCTTGTAGGAGTCTGGGATGATAGGGCTTTAAAGCTAGAGTAGGGCTTCTAGGATGAATATTCCACAGGGCTTCATGAACGGTTTGGGGCTTGGGCTTGGCTGTACCAAAATGAGCACCTGTTTAGGGTTTAGGGTTTAGGGTTGCCCGGAAGAATGGAAAGCCCCAGAAGGAGGAATGCCATCCACTGCTTAGCAGCCCAGCAGCCATGTACTAGTAAGGGCACCTTTTTTTGGGTTGCTGACTTGATAAGGGTACCTTGACCCAAGAAAAGGGAAAAAAGGGCACCATTGAGCTACCCGGAAGAACCCTAAACCCTAAACCTTTACCTTAAACCCTAAACCCTACACCTTCAACCCTAAACCCTAAACCCTAAACCCTAAACCCTAAACCCTAAACCCTAAACCCTAAACCCTAAACCCTAAACCCTAAGGAGGAATGCCATGGACTGGGAGGGGTCTCGGAGGCTTTTTCTCGCCTGGTGCAGGCGGAGCAGCGGAGCTTCTTCTTCCCGCTTCCGATGAGCCCCTCCCACTGCTTCGACTGGTCCTCATCATGAGAGTTTAGGGTTTAGGGTTTAGGGTTTAGGGTTTGGGGTTTGGGGTTCGGGTTTAGGGTTTTGGGTTTGGGGTTTGGGGTTTGGGGTTCAGGGTTTGGGGTTTGGGGAGCGAAAGTTGTGGTTGGGGCTTTGCTGTCAGTGCGAGCGTGCTGCGAGATCGGCCCAAAACCGCCAGGCCAGGTGTCCTAAACTTACTCGGGCCCTAAACCCGAAACCCTCTAAACCCTAAACCCCTAGAACAGGTTACCCTAGGTTGGCCCGCTAAATCCTCTGAAAAATGTTCCTACACATGCTCCTCTGAACTTCAATAAGAGAATAGCGGTGTTTAGGGTTTAGGGTTTAGGGTTTAGGGTTTAGGGTTTACCTTGTACCCTGCTTATGGACCCTGAACCCAGTAGGGCGCAGTTCAGCTCTCCTCAGCGGGCATCTCCTTGAGAACGTCCTGGCTGGCGCCCTGGAACAAGCCCATGGAGTTGGTTGCTATAATGACATAAGAATTAGTTGCTATAATGACATAAGAACATGATAATATATCAGAGCATAGTAGCATGGACATGCTATAGCAGAAACGTAAGATAGTAGAATCATAGAACAATAGAACAGTAGAAAAAAAGATAACAACAACTAGAATACCAAACTCAATAACACAATGTCAGTAAAAAGAAAAACAAAAACAACCATCTGCTATAGTAGTGTAGAAAAAGCATGGCCGATGGACGTCATTACCCCCCGCCCCCCCCCCCCCCCCCCCCCCCGCCCCCCCCGCCCCCGCCCGGCCAACCCCACCCACCGCCAGACGCCAGAATATCAACCGGCATGCCCAAAAACACCAAAAGCAAGCAACGGATTCGAGCAGCACGATGCCGTCGACAAACACTGAACCCAGGCATCACACGATTTCAGAGTTGCCCGCGGCACTCATGAACCCCTCAATCTCGAAATCCCGGAAATAACCACTTTGAAACCTTTTTTCCCGGCACAACAAACCCACAAACGCTGAAAAAAACATACGAAACCACCCCTGAATTCAAACCCGCTGGGTAAACCCTAAACCCTCAACCCTGAAACCCCAAACTACAAACCCCAAACCCTAAACCCCAAACCCCAAACCTAAACCCTAAACCCTAAACCCTAAACCCTAAACCCTGAACCCTGAACCCTGAACCCTAAACCCTAAACCCTAAACCCTAAACCCTAAACCCTGGCCTTCCGCTGCTGAAGGCGCTGCACCGACCGTCGGTCCAGGCCTCTGCCGGCTTGGTAGACCGACATCGCGCCTCGCGTTGTGGCGTATCTTTGGGTGGAGACTGTAAGGCAAGGGTTAGGGTTTAGGGTTTAGGGTTTAGGGTTTAGGGTTTAGGGTTTGGGGTTTGGGGTTTGGGGTTTGGGGTTTATGGGTTTAGGGTTTGGGGTTTATGGGTTTAGGGTTTAGGGTTTAGGGTTTAGGGTTTAGGGTTTAGGGTTTAGGGTTTAGGGTTTAGGGTTTAGGGTTTAGGGTTTAGGGTTTAGGGTTTAGGGGAACTCCAATAAGGGTCCCTTCTTTTGGGTGGGGTCCTTTCCGTGCCTTTTCTGGAGGACCCCCAAAATAGGGAGCCGAACTTAGAGAACCACCCATTTAGAGCTTTTTAACGTTAAAAAACACTAAACCCGAAACCCGAAACCCGAAACCCTAAACCCCGAACCCCAAACCCTAAACCCTTCGCACCGGCCCTCATTCACGCTGCGATCCTGTCTGACAGCCAAGGCTCGGACGCAACAAAACTGGAGCCAGACGCTTGCTGGACTCGTCACTTCGAGCAACTTACTACAGGGTTTAGGGTTTAGGGTTTAGGGTTTAGGGTTTAGGGTTTAGGGTTTAGGGTTTAGGGTTTAGTCACTGGCTTGTTCTGGCGTGGCTTCAGGGGGTAGGAGTCTACCTGAGATAATGCGGAGACGGCTGGGTATGATGTGCTCGATCATGGTCAAAAGGAATCTGTGAGCCCAGGCCAGCTAACGCTGGATGTTTTGGGCCAAACAGCCGCGGAGGAGCCCGAGCAAATCCATCATCTAAGTGTGTGTCTCTAACTCCTATATCCAAACACAAGATAAGCCACTTCAAGCTACTCATCAAGAATGAACCAAGCTGCGCAAGAACCAAACCTTAAAACAAAAGGAGCCCACAGTAGTCATGGAAGAGTCCTTCACGCCCGAGCCGAGGCCGAGTCATGTTCTTAGGGTTTCGCGTTTAGGGTTAGGGGTTTGGGGTTTAGGGTTTAGGGTGTAGGGTGTAGGGTGTAGGGTTTAGGGTTTAGGGGCATCAGATTGCACCTGGGGTAACCTGCCTACCCCCTAAAAAAGGGAACTATGCCCACGATTGAGTCACACTTCCCTGTCTTGAGGGTGCATAGGTTTCTCCGGCCAGGGGGAATCCTATCCTATCCCCACCTTAAACTCTCCACCACCCCTGCCTAAACCCTAAACCCTAAACCCTAAACCCTAAACCCTACACCCCCAACCCTGAACCCTGAACCCTAAACCCAAACTTTGAGATAAGGCGCAAGTGAGGCTCATGTATGGGTGCATTGGGCCGGATCTTATAGGTGAGGGTAGGTAAAGGTGGGGGAAGAGTTGGGCTTCTGGTTTAGGGTTTAGGGTTTAGGGTTAGGGTTTAGGGTTTAATCCTTGCAAGGTGGAACTCCAGGCACCTGGATCGCCGTGGGCTTCCTCAGCTGAAGCACCAAGGAGCTGCAAGGGTTTTACGCAAACCCTAAACCCTGAGCCCTAAACCCTAAACCCTAAACCCTAAACCCTAAACCCTAAACCCTAAACCCTAAACCCTAAACCGCAAGAGCCCCACCAGAGCTTGCTTTCCTTTGTAGGTTACCCAAAGCCTGCTACAAGAGAGCTTGCAGAAGAAGATCCTACAAAATGGCATGTTTGGGAAACTTATCTAGACCCAAAAGTGACTTAGGAATAAGAAGGCCACTCTTTTCGTGCAAGGGAACCTAAACCCAAAAAAAAGGGAATGTCAGCCTACCCTAAACCCTAAACCCTAAACCCTAAACCCTAAACCCTAAACTCCTAAACCCTAAAACCCAAAACCCAAAAGGCAGTTAAGGTGAAGCCTTCACCCGAGGGGGCCCAGGCCAAGCCAGGCCCCGCACCCCTCTGCGGACATCTCCCAAGAACTCACTTCCACTGACTCGTGGGAGGACACCTGGGTTGGTTTAGGGTTTAGGGTTTAGGGTTTAGGGTTTAGGGTTTAGGGTTTAGGGTTTAGGGTTTTAGGGTTAGGGTTTAGGGTTTAGGGTTTAGGGTTTAGGGTTTAGGGTTTAGGGTTTAGGGTTTAGGGTTCAGGGTTCAGGGTTCAGGGTTCAGGGTTGAGGGTTGAGGGTGACTTTTCAAGCAAAGCCTCTGCGACCGTGCCACAACTGGTTCTTCGGGGTTTTCGGTCGAGTTTGGGGGCACAAGAACACACCGATTTGCAAACACTTTGGCGTGAAGGTCGCTCCCGGCATGTAGCAAGTCTGACCTGCAGCTATTCCTCAGTTCTAGGCCAGGTGTTCAGCCACTCGCAGG